ATGATAGCATTAAATATGTGGAGTAGGATTTGAAAAATGAAACACTTAGCAAAATACCACAGAAAACAGAAGGGAAACGTATGGCATAAATTGCATTAAGTTTTGTTAGATTGTATCTATGTGACTGTTACAACAAAAAGCTAATAAGCCCGTCGGGGAGCTGGCCTAAGGTTTATGGATGCAGTTCTGTCAGTGCTTGTGTCCTGTGTTAATAGCATTAGCAATTCCAGTGAATCTGAGCACCTAATTATAGTGTTCGCAGAATTAGTGTCTCTAATAGGAAATGACCAGCTGATACAGAAAAAAGAAAAGAAAAGAAAAGAAAAGAAAAGAAAAGAAAAGAAAAGAAAAGAAAAGAAAAGAAAAGAAAGAAAAGAGTAAGCAAATGAGTTTAGAAATAAAATGTGTTTACAAGTAATACTCTTCATATTTAATCATTTTCCTCCTCAATTATATTTTAGTAGTTGGAATAAGTTTCTAGGCAGTGTTATGCTGTTGAGGATAGCATCTCTTGAATGAGAAGTGATAGTTGCAAAGAGAGAAAATTTAAAGATACATCTAAGCCAGCATATGCAAAGCAGATGTGATTTTGTACAACTGCTTTTCAGTGGATATACGGATACACTGGCCAGTGAAAAATGATATGTGATAGAACAATTCAGTTTTGTAGGGACCTTGGGAGGCCATCTGCTCTGGCCGATCTGCTGAACCATTTTGGCTGTCCTGCAAATGAGTCTGAGCTCTGGGGTATTCACACTGTCCTTAACTTATATCATACTTCTGCTTTTATCTCCTATCATATTTGGTAACTGTTAGATTTTGCCCTCCCAACCCCTTTGCAGCTTGTGTGAACTGCAGGCTACTAATAGAGACAGGCCAGTACTTTAGCACAGGGTTGGATTCTCTTCCACTGTCTGTCCATGAACATGGACATCAGGTGGTGATACTGCTGGTAAAATGATTTAACCCTTGATGTTTTGATGTGCTTTCTGTGAGCAAGGGAAAAACAGAAGTGTATTTCATTTATAGAATCATAGAATCATAGAACTGTTTGAGTTGGAAGGGTCCCTTGAAGGTCAATTAATCCAACCCCCCTTCATTGAATAGGGACATGTACAGGTTAATTAGGTTGCTCAGAGCCCCCTCCAGCCTGGCCTTATATGTATCCATGAATCAAGCATCCATCGCAACTCTGAGAAACCAGTTCCAATTTTTCACTAACCTTATTGTAAAAAACTCTTTCCTTATACCTTATACCTTATACCTTTCATTTAGTTTGGAACCATTTCTCCTAGTCCTATCATAAGAGTTGTGAAGAGCTGTGGAGGTAATTGAGATCTATTATTTGTCATTTCTTGATTTGGCATTTAATCACAAATTTACACTGATAATTGCCACAGGCAGAGCAATTATGAATACTTTAGAACTTAAGTTGCATGTATATGAGTATTAAGTGGAAAACTTAGATATTTATACAATGGCTGATATAATTTTGCAACAAGAATCAGTTGTTTTATCTTTAAGGCCATAGTTTGGCTTTATTCTGATTTAGAAAATTCTTATTGAGCAAGCCAAAAACAGACAGATAAGGACTGAATTTGGGTGTTAAGTGGAACTTTACTATAGTGTAAAATAAGTCAAAGGAAAGATGTATCTCCATAACAATTTATTTTTCCTCTCTCTAAATCCAGAGTAGAAAAACAAATTTTATTCATTCCTCAAGCTCCAGCATGTAGTTGAAATTGGCCACGAGGAAATTTTCAAATAAAAGCAAACTGTAGACAATTCCAAAAGACTGATACAAAGAATTCAGGAGGAGAATTCTCACCCTTTCCTATCACTTTAATTTGTATAACATGATCTATGAACACAGTAAAATCTTCCTGCATAAAAGGTGATTACAAATCATGCTTTCTAGTCTTGCCCTCTCAGTAGGTCCTGAAGAAAAAGGGTGAATGCAAAGACTGATTTTGTGTGTTTTGCAGCAGAATTTGGGTAGATCTCAAGGCTTGTGTTTTTGTTTGTTTGTTTGTTTGAACAAAATTAACTCAAGCAACTATATAGATAAAAATTAGTTGTGGGTTTCTACGCTGTACCAAAGCAGATAAATAGTGAACCTCTTATCTTGCCATTTTCAGTGCAAAAGATCAACAGTTAAGAAGGAAAAGCTCTAATTGTAGGCACCAACTCTTCTGTTTCATAGAACTCAATTGCTGCTCTCTCCTTTGCTAGTATCTATATAAATACGTGCTTCCATAGCAGTATATGTATTCTGTGCAATTGAGAATAGGAAGAGACACATTATTAATAATGAAATCACAGACTTTTATTTTGAATGTATTTGAGCTTTATTTGTACTTTTCTTGTTCTCACCATCCATATATGTCTATTAAGGAGTTGAAGAGAACGGAAACAAAAATCTTAAAACATCCCATAGAGATGAAGTTAATGGAAATGCTATTGTTGGAATTTGATTAACCACTTAGAAAAGAACTCACGGCTTGATCTGATTTCAGCTATTCTGTAATGAGTAAAAGAATTCATGAAATATTCATTTTGGAATGATGGTTGAGCTTTTAAAAAGGTCATGAAATATCATTTAGAAATTCAGAATTAAACTTCAGACCCAAAGGAAGATTTAATCATTTAGGCGTGGGATAGGAGTCAAAAAGTTGCTGTCTGGCCCCAAGGCATCCAAAGCCCTTAGTCATCTTAATGGCTGTGAACACAAAATTCTCCAGGAATCTGAAGTTCTGCTCAGCACATGCAGAGCAGCATCACAGTGACAGGAATCTGCCTAATTAAAACTGGTCCAACAGCCCAGCATTCTTCCAGTTGCCTGGTGTGGCTCAGGATGAGAAGTGCCTTCACTTGGAAGGATATGACCATAACAAAAATCATCACGGAGTAACTTCAAGCTGATGAGTGCAAGAGAAGTTGGGCTAGAATTCATGAGATTTTGGTGTGGATGGATTGTAAAACTGCTGTTCTGTGATTAGTGTCAACACTGAAGAACTGAATAAAGGACATGGAATAAGCTTTTTAAATTTCCAGGTGTTAAGCAGGGCCCTAAATGGACAAATAAATGTGTATGTATGTGTGTTACCTTTAAAAAAATGGTATAGGGGCATTAAAATTAAAAAATGGTAATAGGGGCAATAATGCTCATCCCCATGTTTATTTGTGATTTCTTCATTTTTGATTCAATAACAAGCAGCAGGACCAGTGCAAGATAGAACACTGAAACTATATGAGAGGGGATGCTGTGGCCTGGAAAATCTGGTGTGCATATGTTCAACTTGGACATGAAACCTGAATTAACGCTTTTATGCCTCTAAAAAGTCAGCAGTGGTCATTTTTGAAATGTACAGGAACAAATCCTCACTTTTATAGAGATGAGAATGATTTTTCATTTTAAATCAGTCTTGGAACTAGTTAAAAACATACGAAAATCATAGACATTCATTGTTTTTATTGTATTTGCCACTATTTTAGATTTGTCAAGATTCCCAGGCTGCAAGTAGCATTGTCCCTTTGAAAAATAAAGCGTCTTTTGGCAGAGTGAGGTTTTTATGTTGAAAAATGTCATGCTCATTTACGTCCTTTCTTGGCCTCTTCAACAATACTGTTAGTGTGGATAGTACCAGAACATGATTCTCTTTCCAAACTAAGTGCTAAATGGTTAAGAACATGATAGTATGCTTTTAAAAACATACTGTTATTGCTGGTATTCTGAGCCACCTTGGAACCTAATGCTTAAAAATCTCATGCTGCCTTAAGGCCTCTGTAAAAGAAAGGTAGTATTGATGTTTGGGGGAATTAACTAGTACATATTAAACAAACAAAAAACCTACCTACTATTTAAAGTTTTGACTGAGACCTGAAAGTGTAAGCTAAGCTTTACACTAAGGCAAAAAACAATAACCTCTTGATTAATGTGGGCCTGTGAACTGTTAGGATAGATTATATTCACAACTATCCAGGCCAGCTACATTCAGGCCAGCTCAGCTTTAATCTTGTTCTAACCTTGATCCTGTAACTCCAAAAGCTATTTCTATTCTCTGTGTGATACATCAGCTGTCCCAGATTCTATGTCATGTTAGCAAAAAGAATATAAGGTTTTCTGCTCTGTAAAGCTCTGCTGCCATCAGTTAGCACAGTGATGAATCTTAACAGTTGTGTACATTTCCAAACTGTTTAATTTAGATTTGAGTTACCTCTGTCAAATGTTTTGGTCTGCAGGTGCTAACACAGCTTGTCACAAGTCTGATCTTTAGAAACATCCAGTTTGGTGATTGTGTGTGTGTGTGACAGAAGTGATACAGAATCACTGGGAACTTCCAAGTCTTTTCATTCCAGGTTTTATAGAAAAATAATAATTTGTGGGGTTTTCAACTTCTGTTTAATTTTAGAAAATTGCTGTGTAAGTGAAAGCCTCTGCAATGTTTCTTCATATAAAAACTGGTAGTGTTACTATACTGGGCTCGATGGAAACCCAGAAGATTTTTTGACAAGTTCTGGTGGTCTCCAGTTATATTTTTAAGCTTAGGTTCTTCATTAGATGTTCTGTGTTTTTTTTAATATAAAAAAAAAGTCCTTAAAAATAGCATGGAATTTTTGTTTGCAAACCTAATGCCTTAATCAGAGAGACAGGAAAACTAAGCTGGCCACTATGAGGCCATAATAAAAGAGTAAGAAAAGTCCATCTGCTTCCCTGCACCAAATCAAATCTGGTTTAGCAGCATGGTATGTAATCAGAGTCACAGAAAAACAGAATGGTTGAGAATGGAAGGGACTTTTGGAGGTCGTTTGGTCCAAATTCCTGGTCAAAGCAGAGTTGCCTAAAGCCATCTGCCCAGGGCAATTTAGAAGGCTATGAAACCACAAGATAGCCATCATTAGTTTGGACGGGAAATTACACTACTTGTTCTTTTCCTGGTAAATAAAATTGCAGGAGAAAGACTCATCCCACTCTCTCACCATATCAAATCCTGCAAACTTTTAATGAGAGCACTAATAGAGATGTACTCAAACTGATGTTCAGATGTTGGGCAGCATCATTTTTCTTGATTCCACATCTTTATTTGAAGACATTTCTTGTCTGACAAGTATTACTTAAAACTATTGCTAACTTTTCAGAAGGCTGTTCAGTATTAGTAGTATGTTCCATTTCCTCCTCCTCCTCAGCATTGTGTTGAATTTCTCTTCTCCACTTCTCTACTACCTCTGCAGATGATGACATAATGATGCATTAAAGGTACATCCACCAAACCCCTACAGGTCTGAAGTTTCAGTCTGAAACTCCAATACGTAGAAAAAGTAGCATTTTATGAGCATTACTTTGTGTTGGTGTACGTTACCTAGGGGAGAACAAAGTTCTTTACTATTATGTCTAGGAGTGGCTGAAAAGTAGTGAACAGTCCTCAAGTCTCAAGTCTGTATGTCAGGCTCTCATTTAGAAAGAGACTGTCTCCTTTTAAATTGATAAAAATCCTCTCAGACCACATAGTGTATGTATTTGCATAAATATGCATGCATACACACAAACATTCTAAGCTTAAACAAGTAAATAATAGATCCAAGCAAAAGATAAAATCCGGTAAAGAAGTACTGAGATATTGTATTGGAGGCAAGTACATATGGAAACAACTACTAAACTCAAGCTCTGGGTGCAAATTTGAAATAGTCCACTCTTGAGTTGTGTAACCGTGCCTTCTAAAAATTCAGAAGGTCCACAGCCAAAATGTATGCGTTACTTAAAACCCCAACAAAAGTAAATAAATAAAAAATAATGAAGTGATAAGGTTAGCCTACCATGACAGATGTTTTCTCCTCATACATTTAAGTTGCAGTTTGCAGACTGCTCAAAGGTTTTGCAGACACATATCACCACCAGTCTGCAAAAGGAAAAAAAGGAGAAGGATGAACAGATGGCAACATTTTAGTGCGTGGATTAAAGATAAATTCAGTGCCAAAAGGGAATTACTATCATTTAAAATGCAGAGCTTTCCATTATTTCTATTATAAACTCTTCACTTCTAGCAGTACAACTTCTGACAATTACATTGTTCTTAAAACTGCTGCCTTTTTGAATGTAGAGATCTTAGGATTTTTAAATTATTATTATTTATTGAATATAACTCTACAAATAAATTTGAAAAACAACAACACAAAACACATTGCTGTATTAAGTGTGGACTTCAGCATCCAAGGATTGTCAAAAGTGAAGGCCTGCCAATTTGCTTACCTTTTCACTAGATCCATCAAAGTCAAATGCAAGAGCTTAGTGCAGTGGTAAATATTTGGAAGATTGAAACCTGTTGGTCAGTCTTAATATCAGATTTTTACTAGTTGCATGAGAAAATTTTGCAATGGACCATAATACTTATAAAGAGAAGAAAAACTGTTAGAAATATAGTATACAACATACAGCAGCTAGATGCAGGACTGTAAATTATTTTTCCTTCTAAATATCCTTGGTCATGCTACAGGACAAGGTTGTAGACTCAATAACTTCAAGGTAATGTGTTAAAATAAGACAAAATTCTTATGTTTAATACCACATTGGAATCAGGTTTAGTTTAATATCTTCAGGGAATAAGAATGTACACTGGTTGCTCCAGAAGTAATGCCTCTTATTTATTTCTGTGAGATATAACAGATAAAAAGCATAACACTGTCTGTTTACTCTGATAGAGCAAATTCTCAGCTAAAAAACACTGTTTTTTTCAACACTGTAACCACCAATAGCTGATTTGTGCAGATAAAGTGATTAAGACCCTCTTCATTTTGTGGTATAACAGCTGTGCATTGCTGTTTGGACTGTGGCTTGTTCTTCACATTGCTGTTGTCACTGCTGAAATGCACCACCTACCTTCTCACTGTGCTGACATCTACTGTTTGGTCTCTGTTTGGTTCACCAAATGCTGATGAATGTCAATAGGTGCCTTTTTTTTTTTTTTTTTTTTAATGGAAAAATTCAGTTCTACATCGTTGCTTCATATGCGCTTCCATGTTGTATGCCATTCTGTCAGATTGCTCCTCTGTTGTCATTTGTTGCCTAGCAACAAAATGTGATGGAATATTGGTGGGATGGTTCAGCCTCTACTGCCATATTGCCACCACCTGCCTCTGATACTGTGGGCCAACATTATAAAATAGGAGGCATTACTTTTGGAGCAGCCCTCGTTCTTGTCTATTCTTCTGTGTTTCAGTGAAAGTGTATATTTCAAAATGAAAGGGTACTATTCTGAAAATTGGACGTTATAGGCCCCAAACTGGACTTAAAAAGGTTCTTTGGCATCTATAAAACTAATAGAGCCAAGTCAATTGATTGACTTACTGTTCACAGAAGGATCGCTGGCAGAATTACTTATGTTAGCAGGAATCTTGGGAACTGTATACTTGAGTTCAATATGTTAAACCCAATTACACTTTTGGAAAAGGCAGTATCTCTTAGATTTTTAAAACATAATTTTAAAGTTTTCTAGAACAGTATAATCTGTGCTATTCCAGTACATAACATAAGAATAAAACAAAAGTTACTTGTTTTTTGAAAGCTACTGATGAATTTAGCCTATAAAACACCCTCTGGAACCAATTAAATCTTCTACAAAATGTTTCAAAACTGCCCATGTGGATGTGTAGGTAAGGACAACTATGCTGTACCATCTTAGGTGGTGGAAGTTTGTTTTCTTTCTTATGAGCTTTCCACTACAGGTATCTATCAGACAGTCAGCAATTCCCCAGGTCAACCCTGGACTCACAGAGTGGCTGAGGCTGGCAGGGAGCTCTGGACCAACCTTCTTCAGCCCCTGTTCTAGCAGCACCACCCAGAGCAAGGTGCTCAGGCCCATGGCCAGGTGGCTTCTGGAGAGCTCCAGGGAGGAGACCCCACAGCCTCTGGGCAGCCTGTGCCAGTGCTCCAGCACCCGCACAGCACAGCACTGCTCCTGGTGTTCAGAGGGAGCCTCCTGGGCTACAGTTTCTGCCCACAGCCTCTTGTCTTGGCACAGGGCACCACTGAAAAGAGCCTGGCTGCATCCTCTATGCACCCTCTTTTCAGGCACTTATAGGCATTGATGAGATCTCCCTGAGCCTCCTCTTCACCAGACTGAGCAGTCCCAGCTCTTGGCCTCTCCTCACAGGAGAGATGTTTTGAACTCTCAGTTCTGAAGAAATGCACATGGTCATTCCTGCCAAATTTTACTCATTTGGTATGTATCTCCCTTCTTTTAAGTTAGTTTTAAGCCACTTCTAAACTTCCATGCTGATGCTCTGAAGCACTGTGCTATGTGTGTTAATGAGCTGCCGGGCATCAGCTCACTGCTGATGTTTATACATCGGTGCTCACCCAGCCTGGTGCCAGCCTGTGACCTGGATCTGCTGCACTGCCTCTCAGTCTGGGGCTGCAGGGAAGCATCAGTCCCAACCCCTCTGCCATACAGCTTTCCCTGCTGCCTTACAGGGCACATCCCAAACAGCCATCCGTCAAAGAACATGGGGATACACATACCTCAAATATTTACGGTGCCTGCACTTTGAGACTGAGACAGTTCACTCACATCTGTGTGCGGGCCACTTTTAAAACATCAAAATAAACCATCTGGCTGCGCAACTGTTTCTAATTACTCCCCTGCCTAGACTGTAAACTTCAGGGTTTGGCACCGGCTTCCCTCCCAGAGCGCTGCCCAAATCCCGCTCCCAGGCAGCTAATCACCGCCACTGCAGCGCGGGGGGAGCAGCCCTGGAGCTGGGCTTGTCCAACTCATAGCTCTCCACACGCCCAGCGGCTCTGTCCGTCCATTTGTCTGTCCATCCGTTGTCTGTCCATCTAATCCAAGGGAGGCAGCAGGAGCACGGCCGGCACAATGCACATGCGGGGGCTGTTGGGACTGGTGCTGCTGATGGTGTCGGTGGGCTCCCTGCCCAGTCTGCGGCCCGCCACCCCCCCAGCCCTGTGGTAAGTGCACTGGGGGGGGTTATCACTCACCTTAGGGGATGCGTGATGGGTCTGGATGTGGAGAAAGCAGAATGTTGTGCAGGTATGAGGTATTTTGTGTCTGAGATAGAGAACTTTCATGCACTGAAGAGGGAAAAGTTGGATAGGGATTACTGCTTATGCCCAAACCTTGAAATTCTGCTGCTGAGTAGAGAGGGAGCATGACTGCAAACTATGTGTGCTCCACTGTCTCAATGTAGCAGCGTGATGAACCTTATTCTCCTTTAGGTCTTTGCCTCCATCAGGGCCAGCACCTGCCTATGCTTATAGTCAGCAGCTCTTCTGTCTTAAACCTATAACATCTAGTGTCTGAGGAGTGTGGATAATACCAACCTCAGTCATCAGCATTCTCTAGCATGGTGAACACCTGCTTTTGGCACTTGTCACTTGGCCTTGTTCTTTGTTCTGTTTCCTGCAATCCTGATCCTGGTGAGGCAGCATCTGATTCTCCTTGTGTATGTCCTGCAAGTTCTTATCTCCACTGCATGGCAGAACTGCATGGCAGAACAGCAAATCCTCAGATCTTGCATGTGTTTTCTCCTGAATTTAATAAAATCACAGCCACTGAATTTGTACATGGAAATCAGTGATTACTGCTGTTTTCTGTTCTGATTAAAGCATAGATCCCCTATCTCTGACAACCAGAAGACTGCAAAATGATTACTTTCACAAATATAACTCTAGTAGAATCAACCATAAATTGCTTTTTGATATTCTGTGTTCTGGTTTTGCTGCTTAGAAGTTCTGTCTTTTGTAAAGCTTTTGGAATAATCCAGACCAAAATGCTTTTTAACAGATAATCAAATTATATGTGTAGTATATATATGTGCAGATACCACGTATGTGTGAAAGAGATGAACCTAATGCAGTTTAACATGATAATTAATACACAACCTAAGCGTTCCTGCAGATAACAAGGATATTTCTGATAAAAAGGGTTAAAAACAAGTCATTTCAGGAAAATGGTAGTTTGAAAGCATAAACAAAGCTGTGGAATTAAAAACGAAGTTGTGTGGAATGGCTGAAGCTGTGGCAGCGGGGTGGTTTGCTCATTAGCACCTGGCTCTGACCACAGCTTCTTCTCTTGGCTGTCCTTCTCAGGAGCTCCTCGGGCAGCCCTGTTTTGTGCCTCCTGCCCCGTTCTGAAGCAGAGCTCCGGTGCCGTGTCCCAGGGGGCCCACTGTGTAGCGGCAGGGGCAGGTGCGACTGCGGGGTCTGCATCTGCCAAGTGACGGAGGCTGGCAAATATTATGGGCCGCTATGCGAGTGCCAAGATTGGGTGTGTGAGATCTACGACGGGAAGGTCTGTGCAGGTAAGGAAGCAACTGTGGCGACTGAAGCTTTAGGAAATTAAGAATTTATATGAAATCCAGAAATATGTTGGAAACAGAGTATGTAGATATAGCAGAGACACGGTCATCTATGCATCTTACAGTTTTGTAAGATAATAGAATCATTTAGGTTGGAAAAGATCTTTGAGATCATCGGGTCCAACCATGATATTTAATTTTTAACCATTAATTATTTTTTTTGACTGAGCCTCATGACATCAAGAAGTGGGAAAACTCTAAATGGGGTTTTTGGAAGATTGGAGGACATCAAATGTCACAAGTCAAAGGAACAGCCTCTGCCATAAGATGGGACTTTGCCCACTTTTTAGCAGCAAGGGCAAAAGTAGGAGTCACATTGGTATGGAGACTCTATAAACTGCATTTTGAATCTAACACAAGGAATGTAAGACTGTATGCTTTCTTTCATGTGATATTGCTGCATTTGAACTGCTCACCTACTAGTGGTGTGCAGTTTCTATCAAGGCTTTAAACTGTTGCTAAACAATTTGTTGTGTCCTGTAATGTTTTTCTTCTCCTACTATGAGGAAGAATATTTGCTGTAACAAGTATCACGCTGAAGGGTATAAACACCAAAACAGTTTTACTCCAAGTAGAGATAATGCTGTCCAAATAGAGACTTAAAACAGTGTAATTGTGTTGTGGTTTCTGAGATTTCCCCACTAACACTGTATCTTTTAATGGCAGATTGAATGGCATACATTTCTGGGACAAAATTTAGCCCCTGCCAGTTGCTGGAACACGTCACTTGGTTTGCATCTAAACATTATCACTCTTTCATCTTTCCAGCTGTCTTTACTTAAGTTTCTGGGCTATTTCTGTCAGATTTTGGAGTTTTTTTTTTCTTTAAAGAAGCTTAGAATAGGATTTTAGAGAAAAGCAAGAAGAAATGCCATCACATTCCTAAGGGGATTCAGTCTGGATCTTGATGAAAGGGGTCACATGGGCACTTCATTTCTTGTGTCCCCGCTTAAACAGCTTTACCAGATTCACACAAACGTGTCATCTTTTCAGGCCAAAAACTTCAATTAGGTCAATGGGAATGTTACAGGAATTCTGCTAGTAAGAGGATAATACAGATGCATTCCAGCAGTGGGTTTGGCAAATTCTGTAGGAAAAAAAGAGCAACTTATTTTAGCAACAATGTAGCTAAGAAGTCCAATACTAATATGAGAAGATCAAGAATGGGTTTATAAGAAAACTATTTGTATTTGGCACCTATGACTTTATGGAGAAACTGATTTATAGACTCTCTAGTCAGCAATATAAATCTAGTTACACAAGAAATATCTGAGGACCGATGTTCATGTCAGTGCTTGCTACCCCAAAGGTGAATTTTCTGATCAGTGGTGTGATCTCAATATGCTTGGTATTGTTTCTTGGGGCAGTTATACAAACTGAAAGCTCCTCCAATTTTATTAGTTTACTGCAAATTCAGTTGTTATGTTCCTGTTAATGTTATGCAAGCTGAAAGTTTTGCTAGTGCTTTGCTGCAAAGAGGTGCTGACAGGATAAACAAACCCGAGAGATCTCTAATGATAGCACTTCATGTATCAGTTTAAAAATGCAAATGTTAAGTGATAAATGTTTTTTCAAAAAGCAATTTTTGTAGTTGTCCCTTCATCTAGTTGGAGTATTGAAGCAGCATTACCACTGTATTCTCAAAAACTAAAATTCACTCATCTGCATTAAAAGTAGTAAAAAAAAATCAGTACACATTTATGGGGAGGGAAATAGCTGAGGTTTTTTGCTTGTTTGGCTTGTATTTCTTGTCAGTAGTAGAATCAACTTTGTTGGAGTTCAGAGTTGACCAGCACTACAGGAGAGAAGATCCCAGGTAACTTTTTGGGGGGCTGAGATGCATAGTATGGGTCTGGTCAGTGGAAATCATATTCCAGTCTATGCACTCCTTCCTGGTCAGGTCTACTGTAACTGGCAAGAGGGTTATCCATGCACTGTATGACTAACATCCCCCTTGTTCCTTCCAGAAATACTCTGATGGCAAATTTGCAGGAATATTGCCCTTTGATGTGGTTGGCATCAGTAGATATTGATACTCAAAGACTAATGTGACTTCCTTTATTCACCTTTCAATCCTGTGGTCTTGTTTTATAGCACAGTAGAAAAACATGGTTGGTATTTTGGTTTCATTACACCAGCTTCTGTGTGTATGCCATATGGGGAATTTCACAATCTTGTCTTCATATTCTGAGAACAAAATTTGCCCTGATACTGCTATTACAATAATTCACTACATGAGTTTACCACTTTCGCATCCAGTCAAGCCTTGTCTATTAGTTTATTTCACCACTCTTCTTCACAGATTTAGAATATTCCATCAGAAAGAAAAATTGTATGTTGACTGTGAAGGACCATTCACTGAACAGTATCTTCCAATGTTTCTTTGTATTAAGCCACCAAGCTTATTTCCTATGTATGGTATGCCTTCTTTTCTTTGAATTTTAGAGCAAATTTTTTGACTCAGTAATGAAATTATATTCCTTCTAGATGAATAGCCAAGATGTCTTACTGAATTTCTGTACTTTTTCTTTCTTATCTTTTTTTTTTTTTTTTTGCTTTTTTTGCTTTTCCCCTCTATTTTTAATTTTATGTATACTGCACTATTTCATGCTGTCCTGATAAGTATAATAACAATTGGAGCTGAGGGGGACCACAGAATTTTGAGACTCTAATTGAATATTCCTCTAGAGAGCCATGGCATCTGAGTTGAATGTTATTTCAGGAGAGATACTTTTCATCCTGCCAGAGTGATGGCTTTTTCAAGTAGCTGATATGTAATCACTAGTGATGTTCATATTCAGAGTTGGACAGACATAGTTGTCTGTCACTAGTGCCAAAGATAGTTATCTTGGTGTTTCCCTGCCAATCAGTTCAGACACACTTTCATTTCCATCTCCTGTCCCAAGCTAAACAACGTACATAGTCGCTCAGTATGCAGATCTTCAATGATGCTTTCTGGGTCAGATCCACCTTCTGGACCAGATGTTGGAAACACTTATTCAGAAGATGAAAGGCCTGAAGACAGAAGTCCATCTCTGTATCTGTTTTTTTTTTTTTTTTTTTTTTTTTTTTTTTGCATTATGTAAGCAATAGAAAAATAAATTATTCTGTAAGTAATGAAGAAAAGCAGATTCAATGTCTCTCCTGTCCTTTTAATTTCCCTTGCTTTAATTTCCCTTGCTCTGCCCTATTTCCCTTCCAAGATGTTTCCAGGTGCTTTGGAAGGAACTGTTTTTTCTCTTTGGGTAATAGGTGATTTTTTCAAGGAGTTAGAAACAAAGAAGAGAGTGATCCATTGGATCCCCTCTCCTCCTCAGTGGCCTTTTTATCTGCCTGCTGTACCTTGAGAGTGCAGAGAAGAGTGAAATCCCAGTACTGCCATTCTCTTTGCAGTGCTGGTTACATTTCTTTTGCCATTTGTTGCTGGTTTTCAAAGTAGGAGAAAAAAGTAGGAAGCCAGCACACAACTGAATCAAAATCTCAAAACATTTATAACTCAGTCAGGGCAGGAAGTGTATTTGTTGCTGTTTATTTGCAAATAGCAGTTCTGACCTCAGACACTTTCATATTGCCTTGGGCTTTCTTAGTGTATCTGGAGCCTGTGTTGTATGCAAAGGAAAACAGAATGTGGCATGAATTCCTATCAAAGAGTTGCTTGACACATATTCGCCTTTGGTTTTGCAGAATAGAGGAAAATCAATTTTAGTGAATTTTTAAGAATGTCTTAGTTTTTGTTGTTGTTAAATATGTCTGTGATTAACAAGGGTAGAGAAAGTAAACTATGCATAAACTTCCATGACTAACTGTAGTGGGAACACTCTAGGTGTTCCTAGAGAACAGGCGTGGAATGTACCAGCTGGAACACTAGAGATTTCACTGCTCATCTCTAATGGGGTCAGACATGACCCTGTGGCAGCTGAAGAGTCCAACGGAAGGAAAAGGGTCCTCTATGCCCACAACTAATTGATTAGCTTTGTTTTTTTCCATAGTTATTAAGATTTGATAAACAATTTTTCCCCTTCCAGACTGAAATTGAGAATGGAATTCAAAGAACTTGCAGAACCTTTATTGTCCACAGTTTTATGTTGCTGATATTCAAGATAGGTAAATTCAAGCAGTCTTGGATTCACCTGCAACTGCTGTGGTTCCAAATGCGGTGTGTATATTCATACCAGTGACAAACGAGAAATGAAGAGAAAGGTTAGACAGATTTTAAAGCAGATTACTCTTGCAGCCTGGAAGGCCAACAGTATCCTGGACTTCATCAGAAGAGGGGTGGCTAGCAGTGCAACGAAGGTGATTTTCCCCCCCTACTCTGCACTTTTGAGGCCCCATCTGGAGTACTGTGTTCAAGCCTGGGAACCCCAGTACAGAAAGGTGGATGTGGAGTTGTTGGTGCAGGTCTAGAGGAGATGATCAAAGAGCTGAAGCACCTCTTCTGTGAAGAAAGCATGAGGGAATTGGGTCTGCTTAGTTTGGATGAGAAGACTCCAGGAAGATCAAAGGGAGCTTACAAGAAGGAGGAGGATCAACATTTACACCGTCTGATAGTGATAGGATAAGGAGGAATGGCTTTGAACTAAAAGAGGAGAAATTTAAGTTAGAAGTTTGGAAGAAATTTTTTATACAGAGGGTGGTGAGGCACTGGCACAGGCTGCCAGGAGAAGTTGTGGATGCCCTCTCTTTGGAGGCATTCAAGGCTAGGCTGGATGGAATCCTGGGCAGCCTGATCTAGCAGCTGGCAACCCTGCCTATGGCAGGGGGGGTTGGAGCTAGCTGATCTTTAAGCCTATACCCTTTCATGAACATGGATGTTTTATTTCCATTAATATGGAGAAGATGGATGATAGATAATAAATGGTGTACTTACTGTTACAGAAGAGTATATTAATGATCTTAACCTGCTTTGGCAGTGGATTGTTTTAGTAAGTGTTCTTATGACAGCCTTTATAAAAGAATTGACTTTCTTTATAACTTTTTCTATGCTTATTTAAAATTCTATTATTAATAGGTGGTCCTGCAAACCATCCATTTCTTCTACTACTATATTGTAGACCATTTCTTTCTTTCAGCTTTTACTCAACCTAGAAAGAGGGAATTTAGTTCCGCCCAAACCACTTGCAATTTCTGCTCACAGTAACAGTTCTACATCTAAAAACACATATCTATATCCAGAGGTGTGTTTTTCTGCACTCCTGTTTCAATTGTGAGTACAGAGTAAAAACAACGTTTTTTAAACCATATTTTCAAACCATATTTTCCAAACTTCCTTTCCTGTTAAGGGAGTGGGTTTTTATTAGCAGACAGAGATTCTGAAGATACTACATGGAGAGTGGGCTGAAACATCAACTCAAGCAGCCACATGATCAGATTTTCATTTAAGAAATAATAAGGCTTTAAAAGAGTTTAATTGCACCTGTCTCCTTTCTTGAAAAGCAATTCCTAACGCTACTAAGACACGTTTCATCCTTTCATTTGTCCAACTGACAAGCAACACTGACAAAAGCCAAAGTATTTTTTCATCAGTGACTTGAAGGGTGGCAGTCAGAGTCTTCAAAGGAATATCTGGGTCTCTTTATGGGGAAAGTAGCCAGGAACTCTGACACTGATCTGGAAATCAGTGGACTGAGTAATAATTTCATGACGTGGAAAATGTTACAGCCAACCTGCTATTGCCTGGCAGCTGCATGCAGCAGCAGATGTTGTATCTGGAGTAACTGGTCACAGCACTCTGTTCCTGGGGGCAAAGTTATTCCAGCAGCTTTTAAACTGGAAAGAATAGCAGCAATGAATGAGATGTACAACTATGGTCCGACTTTCAGAGATAAAGCTGAGGCCTTCTGTTGCAGAATTGTAGAAATTAGTACTGCAAATGTACTTGGCTTTTTGTCTGCTGTTTTTGTAGGCAGGTTAATTCTGTGGAAAGCAGATAAACAGTAATAAATGTATTTAAAATCACAAAGTGGTGTTGAAGCACTTTGCTGGAATATTATAAGACTGGAACTTCTAGTGACCATCTTTTGAATGAATTATCTTTGTTCTCACTTCTGTTTCAAGCCACAGATGATCCTCATCATGAACACAGCCAGTGTAATGAAACACAACTCCCAGTTTGAGTTTAGGAACAGATCCAAGTGACAGCTATCGCTGAAAGAAAATTGCCCATCATCTTCACAAGGGCAGTTTCTCTAAATGGGAATTGAGAATCTAGGAGCAAACGTAATTGAATACAGCTGCTCTCCATTTATGTGGGTTCACATACAGTTTCATTTGTAAAAATCCTTTTTATTTAAAACAGAATGCCTAAGATTAGTTTTTACAATGATCATTTCTAAACAACAGCAACAATAACAGCACAATTTTCAGCTGGCCCAGCCCTTATTTAACTTCATAAGCCTGGCATGCTCTGGAGAACTCTTTAAGCTCTTTCTTTCCTGCTTCTGTAAATGAAAATCTATCTGAGAACTACTGTGAACAAATAACTCTGAGAAACCTGTTCACAAGCTCAAGATGCAGTGCACCTTTTTCCAAAGTAGGCCTTTCACATTCCCTGGCCCATCATACACAGAGACTGGAGCATTTCCCACTGCACCATTTTTCCCCAGGACTGCTTAATGAATTGAAGCATAGATGAAAAATATGGGAGTGTATCATTAGCTTCTTTTTTTTTTTTTTTTGAACCACTTTCCTTTGTATGTGGTCTCTGATAAACAGAGAGGCTTAACTGTGGCATAAATTTCTGTATCACAGCAAAAAATAATTTCACACTCAAGATTTACAGTGTTCCTATGAGCCTTCTTTGTGATACACAGACACACAAGAAATGACTGAAGATGGAACTGGCAAACCCAAGTTTGAGTTATGTAATTTGTTAGATGTAGAAGTGGATCCTGTCACTCCTCTTTACTGCTGAGGATAAAAGATGTTTTAATAAAAGCTAATATTATGGCTTCTTTTTTTATCTCAACGGAAACCTATATTTTCCACTGACATAAGTCTAATGAAATCAATACAGCTATGTAAACAAGAAAATTGGTCTCCACATTTCCTTCCTTTGTTTGACTAGAGTCTCCAGTTAATAGCAGACAAATATCACAGCAACATCATACAGCCTATGACATTTACTTGCAAAGAGTAATGGTAAAATAGTAGTAATAATAATGAAATCTTCGAAGTTAAGAATGCTTTCAATCTCAACAGCATTTTAACATGATTTCTGTGCTTTATTTTTGTGTCCTCCTTCTGTGTATTTTAGTACTTGAAAAACTTTCATGTAACTCAGCAGATTGACAGAAAATCTACCAATGTTTTTTATCTCTAGACATAACAGAAATGTGACTTTTGTATGAAAACATTCTGATAAATGAAAACATAATTCTTTCAGTGTTAGTCTTCATTGTATTAATTAAGAAATGACGCTGTTGGAACTATCCCAAGTTTTATTAAATGGTCTACTGATTTGGAAAGTTACAATTAGAACAACATTTTTTAATTGGATGAGCAGGATAGTTGTCAGTCTACTTTCCCCTCACCATCTTAATGCTTTTGTATATGAGCTCTGTGGGATTCTATTTTGTATATAAGAAAATTCTAATTGCTTAGAATTTGTATCTGCTACACTTACATGCAAGTTAGAAGAGGTTCTATTCACAGATATTGTCCAGATTAGATATCATTATTTCTCATTAGGTGGTTTCAAAGAAGCACTTTGCACAAGAAGGTTTTAGATGAAGTTCTTGCATTATAATTCATCTAAATAATACGGTAGACACAAATTTCACTTTATTTTGTCAGAGTCTAACAAATGTACTCAGATTATTTTAAAATAAAGTTATTCAACCTTGTACTTAATTTAGCAATCTCTTTTAAGACAAGCATGTAATTTCTGGACCTTCTTACAGACTTTTCTTCCTCTGTCTTTCAGATTTACAGGTGTTGTCTTGACTTTTCCTCCATCTTTTTCTGCACAGGCAGTGATTTCCAGCCCCGGTCTGATGATTTTGACTATCTCCAAATGCCAGATTGTTTTTCCTAATACCACTCCCTGCTCTCAGAGTCTTTGCTGCTTTTTGGGTGGTCTCTATCTGGCCCAGTTCTTTGGCACTACACTTAACAGGTTTCCTAATCCATTCCTCTAGCTCATCAAAGAGCAGTTTCTGTGAAGACCTGTGTGAGTGTTTGATCCACTTTGGCTCTCTTTACACTTCCTCTTGGCTGTTTCTCAGACCGATGACCTTTCCTGTTGTACCAGTGGCTCAGCACTTTTCTTGGAGAACGAATGCCTCAGTTTTTCACAGGCTTGTAGAAGTTAACCACAGTTGTATAAAATTAAATACTTATTGTTAACTCATGCTTTTATCATGTGAGTGTTGTTCAGTAGTAAAGGTTCTTGGTAGGATATGATGCTAAACCACAGAACCCTTAAAATAGGCTTAAATTTTTTCCCACTTTCCCCTTTCCCCTGGCTGGAGTAGGTGAGGCAGCACACCAAAATTTTTTTTGTGCATTATATTTCTTACTCCCAAAGAGAGAGCATTTCTTGCACATAGTGTTAAAGGTTGCCTGAGGGAGACTGTGGGATTTCTGTCACAAGGAGCGGTTCAAGAGCAGGCTGGACAAGTAGCTGTCAGAAGTGAAAAGCACCCACTTGTTTGTGCCGCCAGGCACAGAATTGGACCAGATGATTTCTTCCAGAGATCTCTTTGAGGATGATTTTCTTTGATGCTGCTGCGAGGCCAATTCTCTGGCCTGGTGTCCTGCCCTAGTGAGGAGGATCTGTGGTAGTATAATGATATTTTTTTTGTCACGCTATCATGTTTCTATATGTAATAATTTGTTGAAAGGGAAGACTAATCATAGTTTTTAATCTGTTGAGACTGTGAACTTTCATCTTTCTTTAAAAAATAGATGTCTGTTTCCAGTTTGTGTGACCCCATTTTTAAATGACCATTATCAAGTCTTTAAGCAAGAACAATCCTGGGAATGAGTTTGTTTGTTTAAAATGTAAATCTGCTTTCAACAATGAAGCATAAATCAATGTAGTGGTTTGACTTCTGTAATAAGTTGGGGGTCATTGGAAAACTTTTTTTTAAATCAAACCTTTGTAATGGGAATGAAGTAGTGGAAGTATTAAACAGAAGCATTTCTGTTGTTTCATTTGCTCTGTTTAACCACATGCAGTCTTAGTTAATGATTGACTGAGGATAATGAGCAAAATGTTAAAAAAACAGGTAGGAAAATTGAATATTTAGCCTGCAGTTTGATATAGGATAATGCATATCACAACAAAAATGATATTCTAGAAGCTCCTTTTCCTTTTTGACCCCATTAAACAGCAAATAACTTAATTCCGACTTAAACAGGAACTCCATCTGTTCTGTATATTTCACTGAAAGTAAATATGTAAAAATGTTTTTTTCAGAAATTAAATATACATATATATATACACAAAACATAGGATTGCATTTCTAATAAAATTATAGTCATAGACCATATTTTGGAACACTGCCTTGGGGAATATGAATTTCCTACATTGTCTCAGTACATAATTATACCCTCCTGAATGTCCATTATACTTTGACAGCAAAGGACTGTATCCTGTGTTAATGAAAACATGATCTAGATGGATGGCAAGTCAAAAGATGTGGCACTGATGGGGTATAACATTTTTATCAACCTGATTTCTGTCATAGAAGTGGGAATGTGCAAATTGCTCCTGCCCTTCTTCATGCTAAAAGAACCTGGATATACACAGGGAAATCTGAGCACAAATCTGCACAAAAATTTCTTTTTCCTTCTTTCCCTCTGTAGGTCTTCCTCCATTGCCTGTGCATGTGGTCTTCGTCACAGTTCTTCTGCACATTCATGGAAAGGGAATGTGAAATTCTACCTCTCTGTTTTCTTTTTTCTTTTTCTCATGCGTGAATGAAAATAAAAATATCACTGCTTAACTTTTCCTTCATTGCAGTGTCCCTCACATCCCTGTAGTGCTTCGTGGAGCTATGTGGCTTCAATGGCATAAAGTCATTCATTGTTCACTGCTGCTGAGAAGTAATGGTAATAATTTCCGAAGATGCTGCAATGGAAATATCTGCAATTGTAGACCATGTATTCTTTAAAACCAAATGACTTTGTGGTACTTCAAAGTATTTTTATGGTAACCTTGGGAAAAAATATTTTAGAGGGTGTGTGATATTGCTCCATCTGTGCTGCACAACAGAATTGTCACCTCCTAAGAGCGGTGATAAAGGCCGATCCTGAAGATCCTGTCACATTGTCTTGACATAATGGACAGTCCCACCACACACACTGTTCTTTCCCCTTTTGCTCTGTCTTTTCTCCCCATGTGAGTCACAGAAGTGATTTTAAATGTCTTTCAGTGAGTCATATGGTATTGCTGATAGATACTTTTGCTAATTCTGTTTCCACTTTGATATCACTGTGTACAGATCCTCTCTGAGGGCTACCATTTCTTTTGGTCATCTACTTGACAATTTTATAATAAGAACTTGCTTTCCTTAAGATTTCCTCTTTTTTTTTTTTAATAGTAATGCCAAAACCTTGAGCTATTGTTTGTATTCTGAACTGTCCATTTAAATTTCTAAATCTCTTTTCAAAAATGGACCAGACTGAGCTGTACGTTGGCTGCATACGTCCTCACACCTTCTGGCAAGCATCAGCAGCCAAGAATTCCACTCTGTTGTGGCTTATTGCTTGGCTGAAAAAGAATCTAAATGTACACAGAAAATTTAATGTGGTGGAAGTGAGAGAAAGAAAAGGTTTGAAGGTTGAAAACAAATGTAAAGAATTTGTATACAAGCAGCAGATGGAATGTATGAGAATATATGCATTACAAAGTGTTCCTCAGAGCTGGAAAGCACAAGACTGCCTTAGCAGCCATACTTTTTAAGCTCTGAACTAATGTTATGATGATAACATTCACAAAATTTCTAATCCAGTGGCTTCTTTCAGTCTGTAGGAGAAGGAGACAAAAACCAAAAGACATCGTGCATGTGGAAGGGCAGACTAAACTGGCAGATGCCAAAAATTGATAGGGAAATACGATCAGCTTTCCAGGTGAAAAGGTAGGTGGGAAAATCCTATTTTAGACAACTGGATAGACAAGACAGAACTCTGGAAAAAATGTGGGAGAGGGCAAAAAAAATGAGATGAGTTCAAAACTAGAACAGATACCATTCAAATGCACTGGACCAACTCTGTGAGCAGCACTTCACCATCTAAATACCAAAAATATTCTTCTAAGTACTGTAGATACAAGTTAGTGCCAAGTCAGCTTGAATTTTTTTTCTTGGTTTTGAGATGTGAACCTTAAAGTCTCATTATACAGTAAAGGAATTATAAGCATTTAAAATGTTTTTAATTGCCACCCATTCTGCTGCTCTTGCACGAAGTTTTACTGCTGGAAGAATATGTATTTTGGCCAAAGGCACACTTTGATATAACTGGTTTTCAAGTAGTTCCAGAGGTTATATAACAACGTAAGTTCTACTGGTAGTTTCTTAGTCTATAAATGTGTCTTTAAACAACGTTTTTCTTTTTCTTTGCAAGATACTGCTCTAGTGTTGCATTCAGATTTCAGTTCATTTTTGTATGCTGCTTTCCAAACACCTTATGATAAGATACGCTATTCAAAGCTCTCTAAAGACAACGTATTCCATACCATTTACATCAGCCCAACCCTCAAATTCAATGGTTTTTTTTTTTCTTAAACATTTAAACATTTTTCCTTCTGTAGTTTGACATGTTAAGAACACTGATAACTTTTGTTCTTTTGCACTAGGAAACTGAGAACATCCTTTAATTCACAAATATGGGGAATGATAAGTGATAAAGATCTGTGCAGTTTTCAGAATAGGTTTGTGGGTTTCTGTCTGTGTTTTAAACTAATATCATCGAGAACTTTCAAGATATATTTTTTGATTCCTAAGTAATGAAATGTGGTCCTCTTAATCCCATAGAGAATTGGAGTTGGTAAAGTGACAGAAACGTTGGCATTGGAACAAATAGTGCAGAGTATACCTAGAGGCAACTATTCATCTTGGATAAGCAAGAAGATTTCATCAGAGGATTAAAGAAAGGATTTTAACACAGAAGATGAAACGAAGAAGAGAAAAATAGGCATAGGGCACTAATATCTGTTAGAAACAACATATATATTTCCTCATTACTTTGCCTGCCAGAAAAAAAAAGAGCAGTGTTTGTAGTGGTTGTGGTGAAGTTAGAACATAGAGAAAGGACTCAGTTACAAGTGGCAGATGTTGCGCAGGAATATGTTTCTCAGGCAGCAAAAATGACTGGCTTCGGAAAATTGAACTAGAGGAATATTAACATCAGCTATACTGAGACAGCATTTTCAGGCTCTTATTACCACTGGTATTGGCAGTAGCCACCTCAGTGTTACCATTTTGTTTATTTTGTACACTTCCACAAGAGGCAGACTTACCACCAATCAGAAGAGGAGTTTCTATGCTCCTTTCTGAAATCCACCAAGAATCTATTTCATGTCAGAATTGATCAATTATTTTATTTATTTTCCTGAGAAGTGCTAGTTTTCATGGTCAAGCAGAAATTTTGATGGAAAAGAAATGAATATGTGAGTTTTAATTCCCCCAAGGCATATTCCTTTTTCTATATACCTCCTAAAAAACACCAGATAATAATGCATTTTTACATGTATATGTGCCATCACGAAGTAAGGCTTGCTTGATCTCAGTGCTATCATGTTTTACCATCTTGTTCCATCAATGTCAGTTAAATTGTACAAGCAGAAAGATGGGAATGGTTTGTAGCCAGTCTATTAGAATAGAATTACTTTAGATTGGAAGGGACCTGAGCAGCTCAGCTGGCCCAGACTCCTGCTAAATGCAGGGCCAGCTTCAAACTGGGATCAGTTGCTCAGAGTCATCACAGATGTTAACTCAAAGCATGCCTATTTGTCAGGTTAAAAAGACTCAAAAGAAGTACAAATGCTCTTCTGCTGAAATAGTGCTTAATTTATCCAACTCATTTAACAGAAATTAGAAACAGTTAAAAATATTTTGTGACAGAAGGAGAGATGGGTTATGAAACCAAACCAATTTATTTAGCCAATTTCTTTATTAAAAGTGCAATATTTTTATTCTGAGAATTGTTATTTAGAAATCTGTAATTCAAATTAGAAACAAAAAGCAACTCTTGAAATAAGAAGCAGATTTTTTTTTTTTTTTGTCTTGGATTGTCTTTTGAGGAATGGCTGTTAATTAGGCTAGTTCTGCCTCACTTATTAGCATGCTGTCAGTCCATCTGCCCTAGGCAATTTATTGTATCTTATGTTTCTCTGATGTCTTCAGCCTCCAGTAGACATCTTTTTCTACTGAATATAAGCTAAATGACAGAGTTGATTATTCCTAGATTTCTCCATGAAGTACATGAAGTAGTCGTGAACATGACTAGATGAAGTAGTCCTGCAGTTGAGCATTTTTGAAGTTGTAGAACCTTAGATGTTCATCAGGAGAAGATAACCTGAAAAAACAAACATGAAAATTTCATCTTTCAACTAAAAAACAAAGAATATTTGATTTTTTCTTGGGACTTACCATTGCTCTATTAGCATAGAAACCAATCATAAAACTACTATATGTGTCAAACTTTGTGTCTAATAGGAGGTCATTATTAATCAAAAGCAGTGACATGGTTCGTCACAGCTGTGTCAAGTTGCGTTGTCACTGGGCACTGGATGCTTAGTGACTCCAAGACTCCTGATTTACAGGAAGTTTGGCTGAATGTCTGTTCTAGCACTTGATCACAGCCTTGTAAAGGCAACTACTTTGGTACTGTTTAAACACTAGATTAAAAATTGGAAGATCATGTTGCCCCAGCTCAGTATGCCTATAGGACAGTTTAACTTTATGCATCTCATACTCTCTTCTATAAGTGAAACAAAATGTTTACCATCTATTTTAGACAGTCGTTGAAGACTTCAGAGGTCTTTGGTTTTAAAAATATTGACAGTATTGATTCCAATTAGTCAGTCTGGGCTTGTCTTTTAAGCCTGTCATCAGGAATAAAACTACCAACAGAAAGTTAAATAAAAAACCTGCCTGAGTGACCCTTTGCTCTATTCATCCATCAGCAGGGAAGTAAACAGTTTGTCTATGATTGCCTGCCTTACTTTTCTATTACTGTCTATTTGTTCTTCCTACCCTGAAATTACTCCATGGATCTGCTGAAATATCCTCTGATTCACATTCAAACTCCCCTTAATTCTGGCTTTGTATTTCATTGTTTAGTAAATATGAAAAGGTGTTAGAGATTTGCTTTATTATAAAGTTCTGCCTAGTCCTGAGAACTTAATGCTGTGTGAGATTTCAGTTTGGTAGCAACTAAAAACTGATTTCCTGGATAAAATGTATACCAGGAAATACAGGTAGCAACAGTAGGAGGCCCTGGATTGCCTGTCCTTTGGTAATAGAAAGGATAAGGCAGCCTTGCTTCAGTGGGATGGATAGTCTTCTGACAATACCCATTCATCTGTTTATGAGGGTGGATAGTGATAGGACAAAGGGGAATGGTCTTAAACTGAAACAGGGGAGGTTTACATTAGATATTAGGAGGAAGTTTTTCACACAGAGGGTGGTGACGCACTGGAACAGGTTGCCTGAGGAGGCTGTGGATGCCCCATCCCTGGAGGCATTCAAGGCCAGGCTGGATATGGCTCTGGGCAGCCTGGTCTGGTGGTTGGCGACCCTGCACATAGGAGGGGAGTTGAAACTAGATGATCATTGTGGTCCATTTCAACCCAGGCCATTCTATGATTCTATGATTCTATGATTCTATGATTCTATGATTCTATGATTCTATGATTATGTGTTCCGCTTTGATT